TGCCGCTGGGGCTGCTGGCAGACTGCGTGCACGAGGAGCTGCTGCTGCAGTGGTCCAGCCTGCTTTTCGATGACAGCCCTACAGGGGGGGCGCTGGCCTGGCTGCCCCCCAAAGACGCCAGGGCATGCATGGGCCGCCTGGTGTACCCCAGAGGACAGGCCATGAACCACCTCTGTATCCTTACACATGGGGTGTCCCTGGGAAGGGAAGGAGAGGGGGGGATGTGTGTTGCACTGTCCTTAGCTGGCACCCCAGATTTCCAGGACATGGTGCTGGAGGAGGTGCCCTGCGCCCGGGGCTCCCCAGCACGGTTTGTGCTCAACGGGCGCATACGGCAAATAGCAACTGCCCAAGTGGACAGGGAAGGTGAGCCAGACCCAGGACCCAAACCTCGGGCAGGGCATGGGGTGGAGGGATGGCAGGGAGACCCCAGGATGCTGCTATCTCATGTGCCACCTCCTGTGCCCTGCTAGATTTCATTGGTGTCCGCTCGGACTACCACTGTGGTGTTTGGAGGGTGCCAGGCAGGACGGAAGCAGCTCCAAGCCCACTGCAGGTCATCCGCACCAGTGTGCCTGTCTCCTGTCTCACTGTCAGGTAGGAATGGAGCTCCACAAGGAGAGGGCTCTGCTGCCTCTGCAGCCCTCCCTGCTATGGGAGATGCTCCCACCCTCCGTGGTGATGCCATCTGCCCCATCCCACAGCCCTCACCTCCCCGGGGAGCTGGCTGTCTGCAACCAGAGCGGAGCCGTCTACCTCTGGAGCGTCGATACAGGGTGAGAGGGGACACTAAGGGTGGGGAAGGGGGCTCACGCAGACCCCTGGTCTCAGAGGGGAGAGGGCGGGCCCCAAGCAAGAGGGGCAGCACTGCCCTCTGACATCGCTGCCTCCTCCCCACAGGCTGCAGCAGCTCCGACATGACCCCCAGACCATGTTTTTCCGGGACCACTCATCCTGGCGCTGGGCTGACTTCACTGCCCACCCGCGGGTGCTGAGCTGTGCTGACCGCACTGGCCTGCAGTGCCTGGACACCCGGGTGAGCACAGGAGGCTGGCAATGGGGCTGGTGATGGGGAGAGGAGAGGGTTCCTCAGCCTGGGGTGCTGACAGACCCCACTCTGCTGCTGCAGGTCCCCGAGAGATGTCAGTTTGACTTGTTCAAGGTGGGTGAGGAAGCGAGCTGCCAGCGGGGCGAGCGTGTGGTGCTGCCCATGTACCTGGGCAAGGCTCATCCTTCCCAGCACCTCATCACCACACAGGTGAGACCCACCACACCTTCGGGGGACACGCCAGGACAGCCCTGTAGGCAAGGGGGGCTGCCATAGCATGTTGGTGTGAGCCCCCCTAAGCCGTGCACCCCCTCCCAGTTCTCTGTGTATGTGCTGGACGAGCGGTTGCCACTGGTGCCTGTGTTGAAATGGGCACACATGATGAAGGCCCCCCCACTCTTTGCCCACCTGATACCAGAGGTCTCTGGAAGGAGCCACAAGGTGCTGCTTGGCACATCCCGCACCCAGGAGCTGTTACTGCTGCAATACCGGGGTGAGAGATGGGGCTTGGAGGGTGCCATGGGTGCCTCTGTGACCGCATCCCAGCATTTTCACTGCTGGGATAAGCTGTCTCCCTGGTGCTCAGTGGCCAGTTTTTGGTGTGTCGTTTCACAGGGGGCAGCCAGTCAGTCTGCCAGCTAGCAGGGCCGCCACAGAAGCTGCACAGCATCGCTGGCTGCCTGCAGCACCTGCCTGCACAGCCCCCACACCGCCATCGCCCGGTGCACCCGCCCGGCTGCTGGTGGGTGCCCTGTGCTGACCTGGGGTGCAGTTCCTGGTGGGGAGAGAAGTGGGCTGGAGGGGGGAAAGCGTAGCCCCGGGCAGGTGGTGGTTGAAAAAGCAAAAGGAAAGCCCTCAACAACTCTGTGTGAGATATTAATGACCGAGAAAAGGACATGGGGGCAGGAGTCAGCAGTGAGTGTGCCCATGTGGG